ATCGGTGGTGTGAGGGTGCTCCCCATCGGTGGTGTGAGGGTGCTCCCCATCGGTGGTGTGAGGGTGCTCCCCATCGGTGGTGTGAGGGTGCCCAAGCTGCCGTTTACAGCTCCTTAAGCAGCCTTTCCTTTGTACCAACAATGCAACTAGGAAGAAGTTATTATGAAACACAATGTTTGTTCTCTGTTGCATTTTATTCATTCTCCTATTGTTACTTTGGGGTGCTGGGGATGTCACCCATAGCTTTGTATTGAAGAAGTAAAAGGCGATTACCCCTTGCCATCTGTCCCCTTGTCCCTTTTTCTTTTGAATATATATATACACATGCTGGGGCTGGAGAGATAGCTCAGCAGTTAATGACACTGGTTGTTTTTCCAGAGGATGGGTTACCAACATCCACAAGGCTGCTAACAACCTTGCCTGTCACTCCAGCTTCAGAGAGCTTACGCCCTCTTCTGGCCATTGCGGGCACTGCATGCGCATGGGTGTTGGGCTGTAGGGAAGCCCAGGAACACTGCTCCAGGGGTGGGGAAACACAGTCTAAGGCGTGGGACAGCCAGAGCTGTCTTGTGGGTCCCCGGGCCTGCAAGGAGGCCGGAGCCATCTGGTTCTCAGGCTCTTGAACACCCAGGCACCTCCAGAAGCCTCAGAAGAGCTGAGAATGGAGTAGGGAGACTGCAGGCTAGATCTAACCCAGAGCTGAGAGAGGAAAGGGGGAGCTCCAGCTGGTTCTGCAGGGTGAGTCCGTGGCTTGTCAGCGGTTGGCTTGAGCTTGGCTTGGTGGTGGCCATGGCCGGGAGCGCAGAGAGGCTTTCTGTGGGAGGTTAGATGGTGGCTCTATAGGCGAAGGCCTTCTCCATGGCTCCCCATGGCGGATCCCGATGAAAAGAGACAGTCCATGGTTTTAAAGCATTTGTTGTCATGGCGGAAAGTGGATGAGTAAAACCGTACCCCACTTCTCAGGGTGGGCCTGAGGTTAAATAGCTTCTGCAGGGAGGAATGTCTAGGAAGGAAGGGTGATTGGCTAAGTCTTCCAGGCCTTTAGGTACCTCATTAAAATAGAGCTCTAGCTTGAGCCTGCATGACCACACGTCACGTCCTCTACCTGTGGAGGACCTTGGGGCATTACCCATATGACTGATGGCTACAAATCTGTGGGGGGCTGTGGCTTGTGACAGAGGCCTGGTACCCAGGAACAGGCGAAACACCCACCATCCCTTCAGGGTTTCCAGGGTTGCTAGTCTTAGATCAACCAAGAACCAGGCTCCCCTTCAGGGTCCCACATATAAGTGCAGGTGTATTTGGGTGCAGGTGTTCTTTCTCAGAAGCTAGAAGGCCCAGAGTTTAAGGAATGAAAAGAAAGAAAACGAAACATTGTCTACCTACAAGTATTAATTCTATCTATAAGCCTAGGAAATTGTAACATCCACTTTCAAGGTTTGTTTGATTAATGTTCTGCCAAATCCAGTTTCAACAACTCCACAGCCCACTTAGAATGGAAGTTAATTAAATTCTCTAAATATTCTGCTTTTACAAATTTAAACCATTCGATTTTCTTCAGAAGCTCAACAGAAGCACGACCAGCCGCGGCACTTAGCTCTTGTAATAGATTAAATGCATCGAGCGCGTTAAGCATCCAGTACCACGGACTCAGGAGGAAGTACTCCTTCATGCCCTGTAGTTCAGTGAAAAATCTCAGGTCTGAAACAACACATTACTCAGTGACATAATTTAGGTCAGACACATTCGTCACACTGTTTAAATACTGCATTCTTTCAACATTAAAAGAAATCAGATGAGGGCTGGAGAGATGGCTCAGCAGTTAACAGTATTTGCTGTTCTTGTTGAGGACCCAAGTTCAGTTCCCAGCAACCACATCGGGTGGCTCACAACTGACTGTAACCCAGCTCAGGAAGACGCCCTCTTCTGCCCCTCAAAGGGCCACATATGGTACATGTGTACACACACACACACTGATGAAAATAGCTGGGTGTGGTGGTGCATGGCTTTACTTCCAACACTTAGGAGACAGAGGCAAGTGGATCTCTGTGAGTTACAGGCCAACCTGGTCTACATAATGAGTTCTGGGCTAGCCAGGGCTATACAGTGAGACTCTGCCTCAAAAAAAAAAAATCTTAATAAACAAGTATTAAATGCCAGCTAAATTATCCCCTCATGGTTCATTCCCTTCTCTCTGCTCTTCCCTCCATTCTCCTCCACCCCTCAAAATTCAGTTAAAATATAATTACTTAATTTCCCTCTCCTCCCATGTATCCTTTCCCCTTCTCACACCCAAGTTCAAGGTCCCTCTCTTCTTTCACCATTGCCCTTACATAGACATACAAATGAATCAACATATAAAGGCAGCTTGCTGAGTCCATTCCAAGTTGCTGCATGCAAATGCATCCAGGACTGACCATCGCAATTGGATAACCAATCAGGGGGATCCCTCCCCCACCCAGGGAAAACGAATTCTCTCTCCCCAGACCTTAATTACCTGTAGCTGCTGTTTGTGAGATTTCCCACGTCTACTGTAGAATACCAACTGCTGTTGGAACTGTTCAGGTCTTGTTTTGGCAGCTATGCTGTTGAAGTATCCTGGGTGTAGCTTTTCTGTCACAGCAAGAAGAAACAATGTCACAGCCAACTTCCTAGTCCTTTTACTATTATTCTTTCTGCTTCCTCTTTAGGCCTGAGTCTTAGGTGTAGGAGTTGTGTTGTAATTGTATCTATTGGGGCCGAACACTCCTAAATGAGTTGTTTTATGCATTTGAGTATTTGACTACAATGTGGCTTTCTGTCTATCTATTTCTGTGTCTCTTTCTTCTTTCTTTCTTTCTTTCTTTCTTTCTTTCTTTCTTTCTTTCTTCCTTTTCTTCTTTTTCTTTTTTTGATACAGGGTGTAACAGTACAGCTCTGGCTGGCCTAGAACTCACAGAAATCTTCTTGCCTTTGCTTCCTGTTCTAGAATTAAAGATGTGTACTACACTACTTAGATTTTTTGTTTTTGTTTTGTTTTCTGACTTTTTCCTCCTTCCCTTGTGTAGATTAGGTTGGCTACATGCTTGAAATCCTCTTGCCTTCATCTTCTGAGTTCTAGGATCGTAGGCACACGCTACCTTGCCTGGTTCCAATTATTTTTTCAAGTATTTATTTATTTACTTATTTATGTGTGTGCACATGTGCATACTATAGCATGTGTGGGTGGTTAGAGTCTTTAAGGAGTCTGTTCTCTCCTTTTATCATATGGATTTTGAGAGTCGATCTCAGGTCATCAGCCTTGGTGGCAAGAGGCTTAACCCTCGGAACCCTGACTGGCCCTGCCCAGAGATTCTTAGATAATTATATAGAAGTGTTAATTCTGTAGGGTTGCCTTCCCCCACCCCCAATCTTATGTTCATGACAAGTCTTCCCTGTCATGAAAAGATGCTTATAAAGTCACATGTGTTAAAGGGCTGGAATGTCGTTCAGTTTGTAGAGTGCCTTCACAGCATGCATGAATTGAAGCCCTGGCAAAACCCCAAAGTGGTGGTCTACGCCTGTAATCTGAGCATTCAGAAGGCAGAGGTAGGAGGAGCAGAAGGTTGGGGTCATTTCTCAACTGCATAGCCAATTCAAAGTCAATTCGGCTGACAGGAGACCTTTATCCTCTCAAAATAAAAGACTCGAAGGAAAGAGTGTCACAGCCGGGCATGAGGTGAGTGTCTGTGAGCACAGCACTTGGGAACAAGGAAAATTGCTAAAGGTCTGGCCAGCCTGGGCTATATGGTGAGACTTTCTCAAGGACAGACCACGGATACTCTCTCTCTCTCTCTCTCTCTCTCTCTCTCTCTCTCTCTCTCTCTCTCTCACACACACACACACACACACACACACACACACACACACGGGGTGTGGGGAGCACAGAATTCCTAGTGAATGGAAGTTAGCCATCTTGGCTACGTATCTGAGGGTGAGGATCTGACACCAGCTATAAGCAAACCCTCCTGAGCCTTTATCAGCAGTCATCCCAACACCTGGTCTCATGGGACAGACGGGCCTACATCTCAGGTTCTGGAGTGATACTCACTTCTCCAACCAGTGACTCCTGTTGGGTGCTGCTTGGGCAGCCACCATTGGCATGGGCTGGTGTGAGCACCACCCAGTTCTCTACGCTCTGTCTGTGATCCTGACTGGCCAAAGCCAATACACACACACACACACACACACAGAGAAATCCTGACAGTGTGGGTGTGGCTCAAAAGCACTCTGCCTGGCTTTTCCCCTCTCCAGGCTGAAATTGGAGATCGTGATGGACATCTCAGAGGGTCCCTTGGGAGTGGGAACGGCTGGCGGTGGGACAGGTCATTTAACAATATCTGTTGCCGGAGTTCACAGTCTGAAACTCCCCAGCCCAATATTTTTCTCTTATCCTTCTATGCTGGAATCCAACACCACTGGAACCAGAACACCACACTTTAAAAGGTACAAAGTATCCATCTCCACAAATGATTTTTTTTTTTTTTTTGGTTTTTCCAGACAAGTTTTCTCTGTGTAGCCCTGGCTGTCCTGGAACTCACTCTGTAGACCAGGCTGGCCTCGAACTCAGAAATCCGCCTGCCTCTGCCTCCCAAGTGCTGGGATTAAAGGCGTGCGCCACCACCGCCCGGCATACAAATGATATTTTTAATGTGATCTGAAGTGGCTGTGGGGCCAGGGAGTCAACATAAGAGATACAATCTTATTTGGGGAGTTTTGCAAAGCAATATGTAGCTACCTAATGAATCAGGTTAAAAATCGGACCCCTGGCCCTCTCCCTTCCAGGATGCTTGTTCCCCAGCCACTGAGCACACTTTTCTCCTGTGTTCATTTCCTTTCCTAGCTTGTGCGTTAGAATGCATTGTTTTAGAGTGGATCAGGTCTGTGCTGAGCTCCCATCTGACCCTTCTGCCGTACAGTAGCTGTCCTTGTCATCAATGCACACCCACCAGGACGCTGCATTTAGTGCTGTTACTGAGCTCACGCTGACACGTCATTATCAAGAAAACGATCAAAACAAACAAAAATGAACCAGTTTAGGCAAAATAATTTATTACAGTGCAATTGGCAGATAGATATTGCCAGTATATTAGTCTCTCATTGTTTGAGAAAATGAAAAATAACTTTAAATATCACACAACTACAGACATCTTTGATGCTCAGGGCCCCGGGCTCTAGGCACTTCCTAATTGTTTGGAGAAAATCTGTGGGCAGATATACCCTAAGACACCCTTCAATGAGGCCTGGTTGTAGCCAAGATCGGTTTGGTTCCTTATCTGAGGGAGCTGGAGTTTTGTTAGCTATAAATCCTATGTTCCTCCATAAGTAGAGGGCTTCAGTGAAGGGACAGAGAAAGTCCATGAGGCATAAACAGGATGTGAAGAGGGGACGCTTGGGGACATTGCTCAGGTAGTAGAAGGTTTGCCTGGCTTGCACAAAACTCTGGGCTCATCCGCAGCACTGCACAAAACTGAGTGGTATTGGTGTGTGCCTGTAGTCCCAGCATATGAGTGTCAAAGGCAGGAGGGTTGTAGCCAGCTGGGATACCCTGCTCAAAAAAGGGTAGGAGATCAATATTGAGGACAGGGCAAAGAGGGTGATTGTACTGAAACAGAGGCAGCTTGTGACCTGAGACCAGCATGCACCCATGCATCCGGGCACCCATGCATTTGGGCACCCAGGCACTCATGCTCTAGAACAGCAGCCGTAGGTAGATCTGATGGAGGACTGTAGTGTTCCAGACTCTGAAAACAAGATCCAGCAGGACCCTTCACTGGACCCCAGAGTTTCATGTACAGTGCTTGACTCACGAGGGATTCCAGCCGACAGCTCTGGGAAGGCACAGTCAGATTGTCTTGCCAAAACGGTGGTCTTTTGACTAGGACGGACAGACTCGTACGATCACGCTGGAGTTCGTCACTCTGGCCCCATAGTGGCCAGCCCAGAACTGTGTGTCCTGGCCCCAGTGTTCAAAAGACACAAACCGTACGCCCCTCTTGATGTTGGAGAACACGTGGGTGACCTGGAGGTAGAAGGAGTCAGTCAGTCTTGTATCACAGCCCTTCCGTCAGCCAGTCTGGGATTTCCCAGATGTTGGCCCTTCTGAAATCTTGCCCTGTTCTCATTAGCAGGTGGAATCTGAGTCTAGGTGTGGTGACAAGCTGCTGCCATCACAGTGTTGGGAGACTGAGGCGGGAGGAAGGAAAGTTAGAGGCTCAGGCTACATAGTCCTCAGCAGTTGGGTTTTATAGTAAGAAACTGTCTCAAAGAGAAAGGAACAAACAAAAAAAACCATCTGAATAAAAGAGGTTTTATCACCAAGAATGTGGCAGAAATTCTGGGTGGGGCTGTCCGCATTTGTAATTATTCCCAGTGTTTGGGAGACAGAAGTGAGAACCAGGAGCTTAAGGATAGCCTCAGCTACACAATGAGTTTGAGACCAGCCTGGGCTACATGAGACCTTGTCTCAAAAAAAGTGGCAGAAGTGAGTGAGCCTGCGTAGGCCTTGTCACATGACTTCCCCAGCAAGGTCAGAACATATCAAGTATCTGGAAGCTAATTTCTCTTGGTTCCCTTAGCTCTAGCCACTATGGAAGAAGTCTGTCTGTCCTTTGGTGGCCTTGTGAGGAATCTTAGTGTAGGCTGGCCCAGAGATCTCATGCAGGAGCTTTGAAGCCAAGTCAACAGTGATTGGCACCTCAGGGCGGGCAGACGGCCAGTTGTCATACTCATCCACCACAACCATCCTGCCCTCCGGCATGGTCTGAGTATAACATTGTTGTTTGAACAGTAGAGACTTCAGCCAGAACTGCCTAGCCCAGCTTTCTCCACATGCTGACTCAGAAGACATAAGAGGGCGGGGCCAGGGAAACCGCTCAGTTGATAAAGCGCCTGGCATACTAATATACGGGACCTAAGATCCCCAGCACCCGTGTGCAAACTGGCTGTGGTGATGTGTATATCTAGTGCTGGGGCAGACATGGTAGAGCCTCGCAACTCACTGGCCAGTCAGTCTAGTCAACCGATGAGCTCCCCGTTCAGTGAGAGGCACTGTCTCAAACACTAAGGCGGAGGGTGAAAGAGAAAGACACATGACATTGATCTCTCTGCCTTCCACATACACATGAACAGGCACAGCTCTATATACATATGCAACACACACACACACACACACACACACACCCCATTAAAAACAAAACTTAAAACCAAAGATGGATAGGCTGGAGAGATGGCTCAGCAGTTAAAAGCACTGGCCGCTCTTCCAGAAGTCCTGAGTTCAATTCCCAGCAACCACATGGTGGCTCACAACTGTCTATAATGGTAGTCCCATGGGATCTGATCCCTTTTCTGGTGTTCATACATGCAGACAAAACACTCATATACATAAATAAATTTTTAAAAAACCCACAAAGACAGAGAGATAGTACGAATGACTGCTGTTGACCATATGTTGAGGGTAGTAAGACCATCAAAGTCCCCACCAACTAATCCCCACCCAGTGAGAAGCTCATCTTTGGTCAGAGGCTCACCTGAAGGCAGAGATCGTTGTTCCATTGTTCAATGGTGTCTGGCAAAGCTGAGAACTTTTCTATGACGTTCTGGTGAGCATCAAGAAGTGTGACAAAGAGACGGTACTTACAGCCACTGTCGTGTCGGGCTCCCCACCTGCGGGAAGGGGAGTCTCAATGTGTTGTCTACCTCTTGGGGGAGGGGGTGACCTAGCCTCCCTGTGGGTACAAATTTAGTTCATCGCAAGGGTTTTGAGAGGGTGGCAAGATGGCTAAGTCAGTGAAGGGCTTGCCACACAAGAATGATGGCCTGAGTTTGAACCCCAGAACTCATGGAAGGAGCTGGGTGCTGCTGGGTGTGGTGGCAGAGGCAAGTGGATCTCTGTGAGTTCGAGGCCAGCCTGGCCTGCAGAGAGTTCCAGGTTTAATTGTTTTAGAAGCTAATATAGGAGTATCTCAAGTACAAGGCCAGCCTGGGCAACTTGGTAAGACTCTGCCTCAAAATAGAAAGTAAAAGGAGACCTGGAATATGAGGTCTAGTGGTGGAGGCTTTTCCTAGCATGCATGAGGCCCTGGGTTTCATCCTTAGTTCCTGTACTTGTCTCTGCCCCAGTAAAACACACTCAAATGATCTCTGGCACTTGCAAAGCCATGCCTGCCAGGAGTGTCTTTTTTGGAAACCTGAGTCATACCAAACCATCTACCATATTGATTGAGGACAAGGGCTGGCCATGTCCAGATAGGCATAGGCCAAATCTGACCACTTTAGAAAGAGCCATAGTGCAATTTAGGGCTGAGTGAGTTAATGTCAGTTGACCTGGAGGCTGTGGTTAACCGCAGAGGCAAGCAGCTGATTGGCCAGTCAATCCAGGAAGCTCCAATAAAAACTCTGTACAGAGAGCTGACACTCTTACAGGCATCTGGATACACCTGACATCAGGTTGGTAACACCTGACTCCATGGAGCGAGCCCACGGAGCTTTGAGCTCACTTATGCCGTCCTGGGATTACCAGTGTGGGCCATGGGCCCCAGTGCTTACTAACGGGCTTTTCCTGTTCCCAGACTCACCAGTCAGAGACTTCAATCTCCACACCACCACTGTCCAGCAGCTCTGGCCACAGACCCTTCTCCTCCAGGTCCACGACCTGCTTCTTTCGACACCAGCTAGGAAAAAGTGAGACAGCAGTTGGTCCTTGAGAACCCGCAGGTCTTTCTTCAAGGGCTCTGGCCCTTGGGGGGTTAGGGGGAGGGGAGTGGGGGCGGGGAGGGCTTTCACCTGAAGGAAGTCACAAAGCAGGTCTGTGAGGGGGCCCCAGGTACAGGTTTCCTGTTTTTCTCCACCACCCAGCCATCGCCACCATGCCGCACCATCCACTTGCGCAGGCCTTCTGTAGAGAAAAACAGTGGGGTAATCGCAGTACCAGGGATGCGGAGCATTTAGGATTGCTGCCGAAGTCAAGCCGCACCGCACCTCCCCTCAAACCCCACGTTTGAAAAGCATTAGAAACCAGAGCCGACAGGCCAGCTCAGTGGGAAAACTTTAACCCTCAGACTTCATGGAAAAATACAAGGAAAGAATTGATACAAGGTTGGCCGCTGACCACCTACCACCTGCACCATGAGGCTTAAGCCCCTTTAACACACACAGAAGTAATTTTAAAAATTAAAAGTTTATGTCTGTGGACCGTGTATATGCCTGGTACCTTCAGAGGCCCGAAGAAAGAAAGGGTGGTCTCCCCGAGACTGGAGTTACAGATGGTTGTGAGTCTCCACTTGAGTGTTTGGGACTGAGCTCAGGTCCTTTGGAAGAGCAGCCAGTGCTCTCAGCCGCTGAGCTATCTTTCCAGCCCGCAAAAACAAATGACAAAACTAAACTACAACAAAAATGATACTAAGAAAATGAAAAGCGAGCCGGGCGGTGGTGGTGCACGCCTTTAATCCCAGCACTTGGGAGGCAGAGGCAGGTGGATTTCTGAGTTCGAGGCCAGCCTGGTCTACAGAGTGAGTTCTAGGACAGCCAGGGCTACACAGAGAAACCCTGTCTCGGAAAAACCAAAAAAAAAAAAAAAGAAAATGAAAAGCTTGGAGCTGCTCTTCTAGAGGACCGGAGGTCAGTTCCCAGCTTCCAAGCTATGAGGCTCAGTCAGCCTCCTGAAACTCCAGTCCCAGAGAATCTGTTTTGACCTCCAACAAGCACACATATACATGAAGGAAAATAAATTGTTAAAATGTAAAAGCCGATCAAATTTTAATTGCCCATTGGTGTCTCTGTGCATCCTGTCTCTCAGAGAGAGGAAATGCATTTTGGTCCGCTCCAAAGCTCTCTGGGTGGGTCAGGGGCTTCTAGCTGCTCTATCTGGGTCACGTGTGACCCCACTCTTGACTCTAACTGGGTCAAGTGTGGCCACTCCTTCTGCTTCATCTGTAGATCTGCTTCTCGGTTTACCTCCAGGCCCCGCCAATTACATATCTTGTGACTCCGCCCTATCCTCCTGCTCACTGGTCAGATCTCTCGGCCCACCGCACCTTCCATCCGTTTTCCTGTGCCTGTCCTCCTTCCCTTCTTATTGGTTCCTTCATAGCCACGCCCTCACCCCCCCGCCCTTGATTATCTCGTGACTCCGCCCCTCACCTTCTTCCATAGGTTTTTTGCGGACCCGCCCCCTCCCCGCCCACCAATTATCTCACGATCCCGCCCTGAATCATTTCCGGTCGGTTCCCTCCAGGCCCTGTTCATTAGCATTCTTGGGGTCCTGCCCCTTTGGCTACGATTCTCTTGGTCCCGCCCCTCGGCTTCCTCTAGACAGCGCCCTACCTTGGCCACAGGGGTTGCTGATGAGGTTGCGTCCTAGCGGTCTTAGTGCGCAGAATTGGCCCAGCGGGCAGGGTGTGTTGTCGCGGGCGGGAGGCAGGCAGCGGCGAGCTAGCGTCAACAGGGCGCGACCCTCTGCGCTGCGGTCTCGAGCCAGCAGCTGCAGCCAGAGGGCCTGGCCATCCACCAGGGCGCGCCAGGCGCGGCACACCCGGCGGCAGCTCCCCAGCAGCGTGCGCGGGGGCACGTGGCTCAGGACCAGCAGGAGCAACTCCGGAGGCAGACGGCTCAGATCCAGGGTCTCCTGGGGGTCGGGCTCCGGCGTGGGGACCCGGGTCCTGGAAGTCCAGGCACCCATGATCCTTGCGCCCCGCTTGGCTGGGACTGCAGGAGAGGAGAAGTCAGATGTTAGTGATCAGCAGCCTCCGCGACGCGCAGCCTCTGCTGCCCGGCTTTACAACCGTCCACCCCGAGACTAACAGCTCCGAATCCATCCGCTGCCTCCCACGTCCCTCGCCCCCTCTCTGTCCCCAAAGCCTCCTCTCCTCCACAGCCCTCTGGTGCTCACCGGCACCCCTGCCAGCTCCCCTCCGCGGCCTGGAGGACCGCATAGTCTTAGCTCTGCCTAATGCTTCCCAGGCGAAACCTAAACGTCCAGCCCTTTGGGTCCAGACCCCACCTCCTTCCGACTTAGGACAAGTAGACAGTTTAGGAATCCACCAGGGGACACGGACTAGGCCAGCGCTCTGGCAGTCCTAGCGGTTCCGCAACAATCCAACACTTGGAATGACCCTAAATCTGCAGTGGACGCCTGGCATCTGGTAACGACTATTATTTCTGGTAGGCATTCAAGTGGAAGGCTCCACCCCTAAACGCCTCAAACAGTCCTGTCACCTTTAATCCCAGACACAGTCATCCGCGATTTACAGGAAAAAGTAGGTTCTGGAGGACAAAAATGACGCCACTAACTGAAAGCATCAGCTAAAGCTGTTTCCATCTTCCAAGTTAGCACATCTCTGTCTTCACAACACAGAAAAGGAACGGAGGCTCTCAGAGGCCGTGACCTTCCTAAGCAACTGCACAGCTAGTAGGTGTAGTGAGTGGGTCTAACTCCAGAATCTTTTTCTTTCTGCTTTGTAGGGCTGGCTAGCCTGGAACTCACTGTGCAGGCAAACTGAGAGATCTGCTTTCTCTGCCTCCCTAGTGCTGGGACTAAAGTCATGTGCCACTATGACCAACTCGTTAAAAAAAATTGCTTTTTTTTTTTGTTTTGTTTTTTGTTTTTTTGTTTTTCAAGACAGGGTTTCTCTGTGTAGCCCTGGCTGTCCTGGAACTCACTCTGTAGACCAGGCTGGCCTCGAACTCAGAAATCCGCCTGCCTCTGCTTCCCAAGTGCTGGGAATAAAGGTGTGCGTCACCACCGCCCAGCTAAAAAATTACTTCTTAAATTTTGTTTTATGTGTATGGATGTCTGCCTGCATGTATGTCTTCACCATGCTTGTGCCTGGTGTCTGGGGAGGTCAGAGGACTATTTTCGAAATTCCCTGGAACTGGAGTTACAGATGGTCATGAGCACCTGGGTGAATGCTAATTAAATGCAGATCCTCTTGGGAAAGAAAGTGGCTGTCTATCTCTCCAGCCCTACTTTGCAACTGAGGCTGAGAGGTAGAGCCCATGCTGTCCTTCAACTCTCTAAGTAGTCAAGCTTGAGGCTGAATCTCTACCTCTGGGGAACTGGAGTTACAGGCATGTGTCACCATACCCTGTTCACAGGTCTTGTCTTTAACCTGTATGTCAGCTCTGTCCAGTGAGACATATGCATGCTACTAAATGTCAAAGAAAATTAAATCTGGGTTCCTGTCCTTAGTGAGCTTGCTTTATAGAGGGAGACACATGACCAATAAAATGAGAAGCAGCCTGTGTATGTGCATGTCTGTCTCTGTGTGTGTCTAATGTGTGGTGTGTCTGTCTGCCTGTCTTAGGCAACCAGTTAAAAACTTTTACCTAGCCGGGCAGTGGTGGCACACGCCTTTAATCCCAGCACTTGGGAGGCAGAGGCAGGCGGATTTCTGAGTTTGAGGCCAGCCAGGCTGACTCACTACAGAGTGAGTTCCAGGACAGCCAGGGCTACACGGAGAAACCCTGTCTCAAAAAAGAAGAAGAAGAAGAAGAGGAGGAGGAGGAGGAGGAGGAGGAGGAGGAGGAGGAGGAGGAAGAGGAAGAGGAAGAAGAAGAAGAAGAAGAAGAAGAAGAAGAAGAAGAAGGAGAAGAAAACCAACAAACCAACAAAAAAACAACTTTTACTTGGGTGTGGTGTGGATTCCAGTTACTTGGGGTCTGAGGCAAGAAAATCTTACATTCTAGGCCTGCCTGGACAAACTTAGTGAGAGCCTGTTTCAAAATAAAAAGTAAAATGAAGGCTGGAGAGATGGCTCAGTGGTTAAGGCACTGGCTGCTCTTCCAGAGGTCCCAAGTTTGATTCCCCAGCACCCACATGGTGGCTCAACCATCTGTAATGGGATCTAGTGTGCAGGAGTGCCTGCAGATAGACCACTCATATGTACTCACAGACATAAATAAATCTTTAAAAAAAAAAAAAGTAAAAGAGACCTAGATATACAGATCAGAGGTAGAACACTTCAGTAACATGGAAAAGGCCCTGGGTTCAGTCTTCAGGATGGGAAACGCAAACAAGAAAAACAGAGTCAGGTCTGTGTTTTGGGGGTGTGTACCCCCACCCCCCCAGAGGCAGATGGATCTCTGAGAGTTCCAGGCCAGCATGATCTACAGAGTGAGTTCCAGGACAGCCAGGACTATATAGTGAGACCCTGTCTGTCTTAGTTTGAGTTTTACTGCTGTGAACAGAAACTATGACCAAGGCACTCTTATAAGGACAACACTTAATTGGGGCTGACTCACAGGTTCAGAGGTTCAGTCCAGTATCGTCAAGGTGGGAGCACGGCAGTGTCCGGGTAGATGGGGCTGGAGGAGCTGTGGGAGCACGGCAGTGTCCAGGTAGATGGTGCTGGAGGAGCTGAGAGTTCCACCTCTTGTTCCGAAGGCTGCCAACAGAAGACTGATTTCCAGGCAGCTAGGACTAAATATTCTCCCCACACACAAAGACACACCTATTCCAACAAGGCTACACCTTCTAATAGTGCCACTCCCTGGGCCAAACATATACAAACCTCGGCAGTAGTGGCACACACCTTTAATCTCCCAGCACTTGGGAGGCAGAGGCAGGTGGATTTCCGAGTTCGAGGCCAGCCTGGTCTACAGAGTGAGTTCCAGGACAGCCAGGGCTACACAGAGAGACCCTGTCTCGAAATCAACCCCCCCCCAAAAAAAAAAGAAGAAAGAGAGAGAGAGAGAGAGAGAGAGAGAGAGAGAGAGAGAGAGGGAGAGGACTCCTAGTAACCACCAACCCTCTGTTAATATGAAAAAGTGTCGTGGGCTAATTAGTGAAAGAACATTTACACACTGTCTTAGGGTTCTCTAGAGTCAAAGAACTTATGGAATGTCTCTATACGCATTAAGGAGATTTATTGTAATGACTGAGTCTGTAGTCCGACTAACCCATGGGAAATCCAAGAATCTAGTAGCTGCTCAGTCCCATGAGGCTAGCCTTCTGTAGAAGCATGTTCCAACAGATGTGCTGGCAAGTAAGTGCAAGCGGTTGATGAACAATGAATCTTCCTTCTTCCAATGTCCTGGTGTAGGCCTCTAGCAGAAGGAGTGGTCCAGATTAAAGGTGTGAACCACCAGGACTGGATCTGGGACTTGCTTTGTCCCAGGCTGACCTTGAACTCAGATCTCCTTGCCTTAGTCTCCTGGGATTAAAAGCGTGCACTTCTTTACCTGGGCTTAAGCTTTTCATGGCCACTATGCCTCAAGATCTCCATGCCAAGATCCAGGTCTGAAACCTGTCTTCTAGCCTTAAGATCTGGATCACAAGCCGGGCGGTGGTGGCGCACGCCTTTAGTCCCAGAACTTGGGAGGCAGAGGCAGGTGGATTTCTGAGTTCGAGGCCAGCCTGGTCTACAGAGTGAGTTCCAGAACAGCCCGGGCTATAAAGAGAAACCCT